GAGCAAGAAGGACAAGGAGGAGGAAGAGGAGGTGTTGGCGATTGAAGGGATTGAGTTTGTGGCAGACAAGGTGCTCAAGTTCGACGTGCATGTGAACGATGATGAGGACTCGCTGTGTCGACCTGACAAGTCTGAGTTTGCAGGGAGCTTGGTGTTTTTGCCACAGTCCAAGAAAAAGGTTAAAACCAGCCTGCATCTTGGGATTTCGGCCTTGTTGGAGGACTTGGGAGTTGACGATGATGGCAGTATTAAGGTAACTTTGGTGCCAAGGAATGTCCAGCGACCCGTCACCATTGGTCGGATCAAGATCGACTATTTTGCCTAGATAATTAGAAAAGAAGCTTGCTTAATTTCATGTAACATAACATTGTGTAAGATGATCAAGATTCAAAAGACAACGGTATACCTATAAATCAATCATCAGATTCAGAATTTCAGACCAAGTAACCATGCCGGCTGCCGACTAAACTACCTGCTCTCCTCCACTTGATCTTGTACTAGTACTAGTAGTATTGCCAAAGATTCCACTCTTAAATAATTTGTCCCCATGAAAGTTGTACCTTTTCTCTTCAACATATCTTCTGCTGCGGTTTGGTTGTTGTCCACTTTCGTGTCTTCGTCATTGGCTTTCCTCTTCTTACCTGCTTCCGCCACATGATTTGAAGTACTAGAGCCCGATTTATGTCTAGTAACTGGTGTCGGCCACCATGGGAGCGCAAATGGGAAGACAGCCGTCGCGGAGTTATTAACTGGAGCATAATTAACCGGAGTGACCTAGTAGTCGTACCTTTCTTGCACGAATGTTGCACATGACATTGTGTTCATTGAGTTCTAGATATAAGATATCTTCACTATTTGGGTCGAAAGCAAGCACCCCTATTGTGTTGATCAATGCATTTCGCATAACCATTCTGGATACGAAACCGTGCCTACCAAACACCATTTGCCTGCAGAGTTGTCAACCTGATCATCATCTATCAACTCCCAAACACTCAAATCATTCACTCGATTATGAGCTAACTGGCACTTTCGCAGACACGTACCTCCTCTAGCTCTGTTACACACACCTGGGAATTCAAATCTTGTAGTGACAGTGACCAGATCATCTTTAGGCATATCAATGAAGCGACAATTAATATTAGTATGACCAGAGCTATTACTTGTGGAGCTTGTTGTGTTATTATTAATGGAGTTGGGATGCAACCCAATTATAAGTGACCCCTTCTTCGAGAGTCAAGCTATCGAAACAAAAGCTTCGTGGGCTTAATACAACAGTAGTTGTCCATTTACGAGTCTCAGAAGAGAAGAAACTGGAAGGATGAGTCTTTTGCAAGTTTAGAAAAAAAAATCCACACTACCTTCTACCTATACTCAACATTGAGCTGGAATAATGTTTTACAACCGGTTCTACCACAACTTTCTTCTTTTCTTCGGTCGTCATCTTCCTTGCATCCGTTATAGTAGGGTTCACAGATGAATCCTACTTGTATGTCCTCGTGACACTGAGGAGGGGGAGGAAGAGCATCCCACTGTTTAGTGTATGGATTGCAAATGTAGTAATTACATTAACGATACATGGTTGCCCAACATAAAACTAAGCAGTATATAAATACTACCACAATTGGTTCATACTCTTGTGACTTGACAGGACCTTGATGATAACGAAGGAAGCTCAAAAAGAAGTTCCATGCTTCGGGCGCCAGAGGCTGCTCGGACAAGGAAAAGAATTTCTTCGTGTTCGTTGGATCAATGAACACTAAAGTAGCAAGCGGAATTGGATGTTCGTTATCACTTTGAGACGTAGAAAGCGTTCAATAAAATAAAGATTAGAAACGAAACTGAACCAGCGTTTCATGGCAAAATGAAGATCGATTGAGCTGCAGATTTACTGCGTAGAGGTTTTGGGAGTTAGACGGGCATATTTCTTGCGTTATAAACTTAATTTATATATACATACAGTGCAGAATATAGGTTGCCCATTTTCATCTTTAAGCAGGTTCACCTTTTCTTTTGGTGGCGGTATTTCAAACTACTAACGCATTTATTTGTGTCTTAAATTTCTTATATGACCGTCTATTATTAATTTAAGATACCGTTATATACTAAGTAATTTTTGGTTCCTTTTCTACCAACTAGTCAAACATTTTACAAACAGTTGGTGGGCTAAAAAAATTAAGTATTAAAACCAAGCTTTCCGCCATGGCTCCCATCTCTCGAGCCCACTCCCTTATTTCCTTCCTCTAAATCACAATACTCCCTACACCCTAGGGGGCTTTCTGGTTGTCGTCCCCTTGTCCCAAAAGTTCGCCTCCGGCGTACAAAAATCTCAATCCCCCCTTTGCATAAGGGTCATCAAATTAATCATATTATTAGCTTACAGCGATTCAAAAGAGAAATTTGAGTACAAAAGAGACGTTAAGGGATCGTTTGATAACCATTTCGTTTTTTGTTTTCAGCTTTCATTTTTTTGAAAATTGAAATCTTGTTTGGTAACTGCTTTTAGTTTTTCAGTTTAAAATAATAATAAAAAGTGAAAACTCAAGGCCAATATTTGAAAATTGAAGTCATATTTGAAAATAATTATCAAATATGACTTCAATTTTCAATTTGAAAATAAGTGAAAATTAAAATTGAAAATAAAATAGTTATCAAACAGCCTTTAAGAAACAATATCTACGTACATGACGACGAAGACGGGCTAAGTCGACCCGAGAAGGCCGAGTTCGCTGGGAACTTCGTGTATTTACCGCATAAGCAGAAGAAGGTGACAACAAGCCTCCAACTAACAGAGTAACGGACTTGTTGGGGGACTTGGTGATAACGGTGACGACAGTTTTAAGGTTCCTTGGCACCTAAGCTTGGTACCTGAGTACGTCAAACGGCCCGTTACCATCCGTCTGATCAAGGTCGAGTTGCTGAACTAGGAGTGCGTAGATGGATATTTCGGGTGTGCTGAGATGATTTCACGTGCAAAATAATGTAGTCACAAACAACCCACTTAAATTAAGTTTTCTTATGTTTATGACGTATTTAATTAGTTTCTTGCTTGTTGTTTGTTTTTGTTGTATTTTCTCTTTATAATATGTTCTGTAATTCTCTCCAGATTAACAATAAATATCAGAAATGAAATTGATATTAAAAAATAAAAATTGTTATTTCTCACCCTCCAAAATATCATTTACTTCCATAAAAAAAAGAAAATCATGTGCTACAGAAGATTTCATTCTTCCGCAGGCTCAGCCCAACGTGTTTATCATAGCAGATTGGGCTAGCCCAGTAATTTGGGTCAAACGGGCCTGACCCAGATCACCATTTTTTTTTTATTTAATCAATGGAGATCACCAATTTGATCATTGCATGGAGTGGTGGTGTACAATTTGGATAGGTTCGACCCAAACTCAGATTCAGATTTCAATCCAGCAGGGGCAGGATAAGGCTTAAAACACTTTACGCCGAGAGATGATTGGTTTGGAGTCAGTTTTATAATTGATTAGGAGGTTTTTTTTATTTTTTATTTTTTTAACTAAAATGATTCCCGAGATTAGCATAACTCCTCACTTTGATTCTGGGATTTGAAATCGATAGAAGTGGTCTTGAGTTTGTAAATTATTTTGGCTCTTATGTGAAAATTCTCCATTAAATAAGGATAAAATGATTAAAATATCCTCATTTTTTGTCAAATCATTTTGGTCCACTGTTTATCAAATTGAGGATATTTTCGTCATCTTGGTCCTTATCTAACAGAATTTTTCATGGAATGATAAAATGATTGATAGTGAACAAACTTAAGGATCACTTCTATTGATTTCAAAATTCAGGAACCAAAGTGAGGAAGCCTATCTCAACTAGCATTTGCCTACACATTTTGTGTGTATGTACACAAGCCTATCTCAACTAGCATTTGCCTACACATTTTGTGTGTATGTACACATTTTTTTTTTAGAAAATGAGGAGAGGGAGAGAGAGAGAGAGAGAGAGAGAGAGAGAGAGAGAGAGAGAAGGTGAGGGGGGGAGTGGGAGGTTTTTGTTTGTTTTTTTAAATATTGAAGGTATTTTAACATCATATGTAGGTGAGGTTTCAATAAAAAACAGTAAAATTTGGACCTGTGAAATTATATTATTACCCATCATTTTTTTGTGTGATAAAAGATTAAATTGTCTTTTCACCATTTTTTATTGACAAAGAGAGTTTCATTAATTAGTAGAGATAACCATTTTTTTTTCCAAATTACACAAGATTGTTTTCACATTCAATAACCACCATTATCTAATGACTTGAAATTGCAGGACTCGCCCCCAAAATATCCTCGAACTATTTTCTGTGGTTTGGTTAGTGGGTTTGGAGGATGAGTCATGCTCTGATTGCTAACAATTGACGATACAATCATCCTAACAAAGGGTATAAATTTGAAAATTTTCTAACAGTGGGGTGCAACGTGCAAAAATTGAAACTTCATGACTCATTGTAAATTGACTTCAAACATTGATAGTGTAAAATATATTTAGCCCAACAAATAAGTCGGTGTTAAACCATGAATGCTCGCTACACTAAGAAAGCTACACTAAGAAAGGGGGGAGAGTTTGGACTCAAGCACAGTAAATTAAAAGGGAGACTCTAACCACCAATTTGTGGTACATGGTTTAAAGAACAATATCGATAATTCATACATAATTAACACAAATCTATATGTGGAAATAAAATCGTCTTAAATTTTGTCGATGTGACAGATTTCTAACCCAAACCGTCCCATTGTGGTTTTATTTTACTCTGTTGTGCTGGTTCTATATATGATATCTTATTATAAGATGACACACAATGGTTGATGGTTCATTGATCAATTTGAAGTAGCTGTGCAATTTATGTTTTACTTTTTTTATTTTTTTGTCAAAAGATAAATTTGTTAAATTAGATGTCAGATTAGGGAGCAGGGTTCGAATTCATGCCGTAGTGCAAGGGCAACACTCATCTCCACCAATGTGATAGAGGGCCCAATTTAATTTGATAGAAGACTTGAGATCCTCATCAGCCATATAGGGTTAGGGAATAAACATTACTTGCGATACTAAAGCTATAAACATTACTTGTTTGTCTAAATATAAATTTTACAAAAAGCTAGTGCCGGATTATTGTTGCTAATTTTGATCCTCGTCTTACACAAGCAGTAATCTGTTGAATTCATGATTCATATAGGTTGAACAAAGGAAAAAAGCAGCACTGCCGGAGCATGTCAAGAGGGACCTTCATCGTTGGAAAGTTCATTGCAAGATGTTGCATCACGATCGATATAGTTTCATGGATCTCTGGCCCTGCTCTTCAAAGGACTGGGATCATTTAGCCCGGCAAGAGGTACCTTTAGTGAAAATGTTATGCTAGTATGTCCATTTCCACCATGAACATCTTTGTCATCAGCCTTTTCCTTTTTCGTAGTATGCACACATGCCCCGTACTACCATCTATTCAAAAAGCTGATGTCTAAGAGATTATATTTATTTATTTATTTATTTTACATTTTCTTCATGCTACCGAAAACACTAAAATCATAAGAACGAAATATGTAAAGGGGACGGTGTAATTTAATGTTGAATCGGTATTCATTCACCATACAAAATGGAATAGTACTAGCTTATGTGTAGAGTAAACCCCTGGACGCTAGTAAGCTCTAGCCCTCTGCATGGACAAGGGAATTATTAAGCTTATTGTGGAAATGCATTCTGCGGCTGCTGTTACTTTGCTGCAGCTGGATGCAGCTCATAAGTTTCACCCTCTTGCCTTTCTTTTGATCAGTTGCCATAAGATTTCCTGCTTTGAGATCAAACATTTTTTTGTTGTGAATATCGCGTAAAGAAATGAACCATTTGAAAAATTTGCAATTGAGAAAGAACAGTTTTCTTCATCCTTGAATTGAAGTCAAATTAGTTTGCATTGGTCTGTCTTTCTTGTGAATATAATTTGACTATTTCTGCCATAATGAAGTTATCCAATTTCATTGGAGTTGGCACATTAACGCTTTTGTCAAATCAAACCCCTAAGTTTGGTCTTTTTAAGATGAGTAAACTGCCGATTTGCCCCCTGAACTATCACCCAACTTTCGATTTGCCCCCTGAACTTTTTAATTGGAAAATTAAGGACTTAAACTAATTTTTTTGGCCGATTTGCCCCCTGCTGTTAATTTTTCATTCATTCCATCAAAATTTCTGTTAAATGGAAGCATATGCACAACATGTGTAGGTAGTTCGGTCGTTTCATTCTTTAAAATAATTGAAAATCTTAGATTTCTAAAATATAAACCTATGCAAATATGTGTGATTCTATAGCTTTTTTGTCTGAATGTCTAGTGAAATGACGCTTTTGTCCACAAATGAGAGTTACGTGGTTTGCACACGATAAGAGTTAACGTTAATTTGGATGAAATCTATGAAAAACTAATGGTAGGGGGGAAATCGGCCAAAAAAAATAGTTTAAGTCCTTAATTTTCCAATCAAAAAGTTCAGGGGGCAAATCGAAAGTTGGGTGATAGTTCAGGGGGCAAATCGGCAGTTTACTCTTTTAAGATCTCCATACCCTCGTTTTCCCTCAAAAGTCTAATCTAGCATATGCACCAAGTGGAAAAAATTTATCTTTACAATCTACCTAAATCTAATAAAAATATCAGAAGAATGAATTTAGGTCGTTGTATTTCTGAGTCAGCAGAGAGAGGGCAAATAGTCTTTAAACATGGAGAGGTGGCAAAAGAGAGAGATCAAGGAAAGATTTTTTAGTGTGTCAGGAACACAATCATATATGTTAGACATCATCATACAAATAGAGGATATAATAATATATAATGTACTGCCACATATTCTGAACATATTAAAAAATCTCTCGAAATCAAGGACAGTTGCGTCGTGTGAGGGGCAGGCAATGTTGAGCCCCTCTTGACAAATTATTACATCCGGAGGGTCCCGTTTTGTGCCTTTTTTTTTCCTCTTAGCAAACCCACATGCTGCCCATCTGCATTATTAATAAAAAAAAACCTCACAACTACGTCGTCCCTTGGATTGCCAATTGCAATTGGGGATCGATCATCGATCTCTCTATATATGCCTTGAAAGTGCCTATCTGCATTATTAAAAAAAATAAAAACTTCTCGAGATTACATGAGATACCACTTTACTTTACTCATCCACCTCACTCTCTCTTTCCCTTTTCACGTTTTTTGATAGGCATCGATCACACCTCGATCAATGATGGGAAACTGGCATCGAGAATTCCACTTGTGTGGAAATACGGTGACTCAATCAGCCATTATATAAAGAGGACACTTGATCTTCATTTCTGCACACATGCATGTAGCTGAAAAAACCTAATTGATAAAGCCATGGCTTCATTTCTTCCACTTGCACCCGCCACTACGCTTATTAACCGCCCTTCTTCCATTCGTTCTAATACTTCAACTTCCCTTAGTTGTTTCCCTAGACCTTTGTTCTCAATACATCGTTCATTTGAAAAAGGTAAGCATGGATCTCCATGCAAAGCAAGAAAGAGCGATGATGAACAGGGTATTAACCAAGACGATGGAAAACTGGACAGGAGAAACATGCTGATTGGTCTTGGAGCTGGAGGTCTGTACGGGGCAACCAGTCTTGGCCTTGGGACCAACCCATTCGCCACCGCTGTTCCGATTCCCGCTCCTGACCTAAAAACTTGCGTCCGGACCACCGAAGATATGAAAGGACTTAATTGTTGTCCACCGTCAACCGAAATCATCAATTTCGAGCTACCCGAAGTCAAAACACTCCGCACCAGGCCAGCGGCACATACAGTCGATCAAAAGTATATAGAAAACTACAAAACGGCCATCGAGCTGATGAAGAACCTCCCCGAGGACGACCCACGTAACTTCTGGAACCAAGCTCAAGTCCACTGTGCCTACTGTGAGGGTGCATATTACTATGCTAGCAATGATTGTGATGGCACCAAGGAAGAAATACAAGTTCACTCCTCGTGGCTCTTTTACCCCTTCCATCGCTGGTACCTCTACTTTTATGAGAGAATCCTTGCCAAACTCATTAAGGACCCAAATTTTGCTCTGCCCTTCTGGAACTGGGACGGTAAAGACGGCATGTACTTGCCTCCTATTTTCGAGGAGGGCCGCAGTAGTTCCCCACTCTTCGACCACTACCGAAACGCCAAGCACCGGAAGAAGAAATTTGTGTTGGACCTCAACTACAATTGCACCGACTCCGGCAAAACAGATGAAGAAATTAAAGAGGATAACCTCTGTACTATGCACCGGCAGATGTACTCTGCTTCTACTGGTAAGGATTTGCGTCTTTTCTTTGGCCACCCTTACAGGAAAGGCGACAAACCTAGCCCCGGTGCAGGAAACATTGAGCGTATTCCCCACAACAATGTCCACATCTGGACTGGCGACCCCGATTGGGTTAGAGAGGACATGGGAAACCTTTACTCTGCTGCTAGAGATCCCATCTTTTTCGCGCACCATGCCAACGTAGACCGCATGTGGTACTTGTGGAAAAAAGAATTACACTGCAAGGACATCTCCCAAGATGACTGGCTGAAAGCCGAGTTTCTATTCTACAACGAGAACAAGCAACTCGTCCGAGTTAACGTCGAACAATCTCTCGACACGGACAAGCTCGGGTACAAGTACGATGATGATGTTGATATCGAGTGGATGAGCAATAAGTACAAGCCAAAAGCTCGTAAGTCATTAAACAAGGCAAAGCCAAACGTCTCTAGGTTCCCGGTGAAATTGGACTCCAAGGCAAGTGTTAAAGTGCAGAGAGCATCTTTGAAGCGGCCCGCGAACGAGAAGGCAGAACGAGCAGAGGTGTTGTTGATCGAAGGGATTGAGTTCCCTGGTAACCAGGCTGTGAAGTTTGATGTGTATGTCAATGACGATGCAGACACGGAGAGCGGGCCTTGCAACTCTGAGTTTGCTGGCAGCTTTGTTCACGTCCCACACAGGCACAGCCACACTATTAAGACCAATATGACATTAGGGATTACGGATCTGTTGCAGGACTTGGAAGCTGAAGATGACAGCCACGTGGTTGTGACTTTGGTGCCAAGGTATGGGAAGGGGCCTATCACCATTGGTGATGTCAAGATTGAGCTCTGATTCTTTTCTCGGCCTTCTCGATCCACTGGATCTGTTTCCATGCATGCTTTCTACGTATCCTAGCTACCCCTTTCTTGCTGCCAGTGCTAATAAATTGCATGCATGCTTTGATCAGAGCACTGCGATGTTTCTGCTGCCTTTCATTTCCATCCTTCATTACTTTCACTTCTTGTTTGTGTCAAGTTCTTGTGTATGTGTAATGCATGCGTCGATCAAGACCACGTACGCATGTACCACAGTGCATGCTTCCGTGGGAGATCATTTATGTTGGTTGTTGCTAAATAAACCTTATGTTCAGTGTGTTTAAGTTGCTTTAATTTGCTTTTTGTTCTCTCTCTCTTTTTCCTAAAGGCGATTCATATATACTGCAGTGGCGAAGCCAGGAATTCTCGGGAGGAGGGGCAAACTTATATGCGTGCAAGGTTAAAGAAAAATGGCAACAACCAAATCTTTTTATATAGAAATGTCTTATATAATTAATCAATACAAATAAATTACAGTTGTTGTCGGCGAAGTTTCATGTTATGAAAACGTCACATAATAGGATCATTATCAGTAAAAGCAAATACATCTCTCTCAAAGTAACAATCATGTTATCACTCAACTATTGACTCTCATTTTGTTACGCAATGATGTTTTCACAATCTTCATAGTAGAAAAAACTCTTTTCACCGAAACGGTTGCAACCGGTAACACTAAAGTTAATGTAAGAAACTTATACATTAACATGTAGCTTTCACACCTCCTGGTTCATTTTGTGAGATTTAGGTTAACAAAGTTCATTTTAGAGTTACTACCTACGAATTGCTTCGCGATAATTGGAGAAGGATTTAAGCACTGTTTCTTATAGTATCGTTCCATTACATAACTGTATAACAAAAGAAAAAAATATATCTTAGACTCTTAATCCTAGAGTAGACTATAGGGTAATATCTAATCAAATCACAAATTAATTAATCAATACTAACAATCATATGAATAATCAAGAATTCAATTTTTATTCTAAACCACAATTAAAAATTGAGTAAGTTGATTAGGGTTTATAGCGGTTACTGCAATCAATTTTTATTACTAGACCACGTGTGATTCAACTTCATATAATATATATAATGTATGAATCCTCTTTTATGTACTTCAAAAAAAAAATAAAAAAAAAATCAATAATCATAGTATTTATATGAATAATCTATAATCGATAACCATAAATTTAAAAAAAAAAATTAAAAATTAACCTCACTTGGAGCGGCTGGCATGGCGTCTGGAGCTTGGTGGGCAACGGAACAGGACTTTCTTATGTTCAATCTCGGGATTTGAGTCAATTTTGAAAATTGAAATATGGGAATAAAGGTGGGGGGATGGGATTTGTAATTTATGGGCAAGAGTGGGGGTAATAATTGAAACGGGTGGGAGGATTGGGATGGGTACCAGTGGCTCTTTAAAAAAAAATTTATTTGATTAATGCAAAACGACGTCGTTTACCAAACCAAAATTAAAAATTAAAAAAAGAACCTGCAAGCTCACAGTTCCCAGATTCGAACCATGAACCACCGTGGTTCCCAGATTCCGGCCGAACCAAAGGGGTTCAAGCCTCGCTCCTGCCTTTGTTTTCCGGCGAGCGGAGGGGCGGCCGCCCCCCTTCGCTCCTATGTAGCTTCGCCATAATATACTCCAACTGCATTTGATTCGGTGAATGTCTCATTACATGTCTTTTACATTTTTGATAAATTTTTTTATAGAGGGATGGCCCGGATGGGCAATTAATGATATTATATATGATCAATCGAACGAAAACTAATTAAATTCAAGACGTAAACCTAAAACTTAAGTGTAAATGAATACACACGTGCTAAAGGATTTTGGTGCTTGTAGACGAGATGAAGACCTAGTTTGGGAGTGAGGTGCTTAAAAAAAAAACACCCATGAAAAAAAGCTGTGAGGGTTTTAGGTGTTTGGTAAACTGAAAAAAAAGGGCTTATTTTAGAAGCTGCTGTGAGAATAAGCTGAAATCAAAGGAAAAAGCTGAAGCTGCTATTTGTAGCTTTGGAAAACTGGCTTTTTTTCAAAGCACACGGAGCTACAGTGCTTCTTTAATGAAAAGACCCACTATCAGACTGCTTTTTTTTTCCAAAAGCACTTTTACAAAAAAGTTTACCAAACACTCAGCTGATTTATTTCACAGCCGCTTATTCTCACAGCACAGCCGCTTATTCTCACAGCAGCTTTTTTTCAAAGCACAGCAATACCAAACCAGCCCGAACTTATATATGGTGGCTGGTTAACTGACATAATGTATATGACACATATTTGATCACATAAGTATAGACACCAACATAGAAGATGAAGATGGATTAGGAAGTGAAGAACTTACCAAGAGAGGCTGCTGAGAGGCCGTGGAAAAATTGGTTGAGACCTTTATGAACTGGTTGGTTTAACAAGCACGTGATAAACAATGAAATAAAACTAGGTCAGTAACTATTGAATTAATAGAACAGAAAGAAGAAGATTTTGTGAAGGAGTTGTAGACATGTAAATTTCAGTGAAATAAATGTTCACCAATAAATTAAATTTTGATCCACTAGAGCTTAAGACGCGCACACCATGGGCTCCACAAATTGCTCACATTGCAGGTGATTCATCAAAACTGGATGAATTAATAAGAGTGACACGTGTCAGCATCTGAAACCTCCGTCAAACAAATCAAATCAAGTGCAAAAGATAACAAATTAACCCTATATAATATGATCAAATTATATCAATTGGGGTTTAATTTCCTAAATAAAAAATTATGAGCTAAATTAAATAATTTGCTCAAATTAAAGCACATCAGAAAATCAATCCCACAACTCACAGGATTCAAATTGAGTGTTCTAAACGAAAACTCAATCCCTTGCCTATAAATACTAGGCTCATTTTCAAAACACAAACTTCAGAGAAATGAAGCAATTCCAAGCCTTTGGAGAAACTTTGACAAAAAAAAAAAAAAAAGCCTTTGGAGAAAACCATAAAGCTCTTTTGCCAAAGCAAACACCAAACATTCTTGTTCTTCATCAATCTCATGGAGGATTAACAAGCACAAGAAATACACGTGCCAGTTCCTCCACCAAAGCCGAAGATCACAACCACACTACTCGTGGTCCCAATTTGTTCAAGATCAAGTCTCTACAACTTTTGACCAAATCACATCTGGTTCAAGAGTAGTGCTCGCCACCCTTAGATCAAACTCAATATTGGAGATCGAATAAGAGAAAATTCTTTTCTTGTAAAGAATATTCCCTAAACATTCATTTAATACAAGTATTACTTTGTAAACGTGTTCTTGTTTTATTTGTTGAAAAAAAAATCATGTTTATAGGAGTATAAATCCCAATTCAGAGAGGATTTCAGAGCAAAAAATGATACGGCCAACAAGAGGTTTAATAAGCACCATTAATCCTAGAAATAAGTAAAACTAAGGAATTGTATTGATAAGAAGAGCTATAGTATTAACCCGCCTGCGACGACCATCGGTCATTCTGGCCAACGATTAACCGTTTGATTCATATCTCTCAATTTTTTTTTCTCCTCCCCTATCTGCCTCTTCCTCTCTCTTTAAACATTTACCTTCCACAGGTTTCGATCCATCTCATTTTTCCCAGATCTTGGATGCAAGAACACAAGGCCTAGATTTTCCATACAATAACATCCATATCTGGTGCGGTGACCCGAACCATACCAACCAGGAGGACATGGGCAACTTCTACTTAACTGGTCGGGATCCCCTGTTTTACGCCCACCATTGTAACGTGGACCGGATGTGGAACATTTGGAAAACCCTCGGGGGCAAGCGTAAGGACCCAACCGACACCGATTGGCTCGACGCTGAGTTTCTTTTCTACGACAAAAACGCGGAGATTGTGAGCTGTAAGGTCCGGGACAGCATCCATCCTGAGAAAGATCTTCGTTAAACCTACGAGCCTGTTAATGTTCCATGGCTGTTCACGAAGCCAACCGCTTGTAAGCCGAAGACCAAGACCAAAGCCAAGGTGGCGGCTACTGAGCTGACAACCAAGTTCCCAGCAACGTTTGACTCAAAGACGACGGTGGAGGTAGCGAGGCCAAAGCTGAAGAAGAGTGTTGAGCTAGGATAGCACCAAACCCGTTGGAACCAACTCAAGCTAACCCACAGGAAATTTATCAAATGAAAAAGCAAGAGCAAAATATTAAAGACACCAAGATTTTAACGAGATTCCTCAACAGTCAGTGTAACTGGAGTACGTCCTTGGAGCAGTAGGAGCTCACCCAAGAATCCACTATCAACCAAATGAGAGTTTAAGTGTTGGCAATCTCACAACCCAAAACCCCAATACACCCAATAACTCTCACTCACCAAAGAAACAAATAGAGAGGGAAATATAGTGAATAATTTCCTCTCTATACAAAGCTCAAAGCTAATACACAAATACAACTTTGATTGAGTGAGTACCAACAAAGAAAGAAAATCACCTTTCTTTCTTCTCTTCAAAATGGGGCTGTAGCACCTCTGTTTTCTTCTCTGTTTTTCTGGTGCACTCTATCACTACAATCAGAAAATGCTCTCTATTTTCTGCACCTTCTACAACTCCCCTTCCGTTTCTCTTATTTCCAAAGGCTAAATAAAAAATTAATTTTCTCCAACATCATCATTTGTCATCATCACAAAGCAAGGAACAACATCATGATGTTTCCCTTTTTTTTCTTTTTAACAAACATAATCATTTGTCTTTTTCTTTCTTTTGCTTTGTTTAATAGCTAAAAGGTGATGTTGAGTTGCCACTTGGCCACAATTCAACAATCTCCACCTTGGCCAAGTTCCGAAAACGCCATGATAAGCCAACCAACACAATTGATTCAAAAAATCACTCTCAAACACTAGCAAGAGAACAACTCATGCCGAGCCAAATGCTCCAAAAACTCCTACTGCTCAATGCCTTCTTTATATAGGCAAAATGTGAGCCAAGTTCAAGCAATGAACAAACTTGGCGACACCAACAACCTTAGTCAACATATCAGCGGGGTTGTCTTTAGTTGGAATTTTCTGGAGAATGATTTCCCCTTCACCAACAATTTCACGAACAAAGTGATAACGCACATCTATGTGCTTGGTCCTCGCATGATGAACCTGATACTTAGCCAAATAAATGGCACTCTGACTATCACAATGTACCTCCACCTGCTTCTGATCAACCCCCAAATCTCTAATCAGCCCATGTATCCACATGGCCTTCTTTATAGCTTCAGCAACTGCCATATATTTAGCCTCTGTAGTAGACAAGGCAACAGACTGCAAAATGAACCTCCAACAAACTGGCTCTTTAGCCATAGTAAACACATAGCCTGTAGTAGACTTCCTTCCATCCAGATCACCTGCATAATCTGAATCAACATAACCAACTGCAAAATGACCAATACCAGAGTCATCATTCTCAAAGCATAAACCAACATCTCGAGTACCATGGAGATATCTCAATATCCACTTAGCTGCTTGCCAATGCTCTTTACCTGGATTATGCATATATCGACTCACCATGCCAACTGCATGAGCAATATCCGGTCTAGAGCATACCATTGCATACATCAAACTACCAACCAAATTTGCATATGGTATATTTTTCATTTGCAGCTTCTCTTTATCAGTTTTAGGACACTGTAGAGAACTCAATTTAAAATGAGGAGCTAAAGGGGTACTAACCGGTTTGGTTGAATCATGAACTCCAAACTTCCGAATCAACTTCTCAATGTATTGTTTTTTATTCAAACTGACCAAACCCTTCTCTCTATCTCTAGTGATCTCTATGCCAAGGATCTTATTCGCTTCACCAAGATCCTTAATCTCAAACTCATTCTTCATTTGCTTCTTCAATTTTTCAATCTCTTCAACATTCTTTGAGGCAATCAACATATCACCAACATATATCAACAAATAAATGAAAGACCCATCTTGCAACTTTTTGAAGTACACACAATGATCATATTGACTTCTAGAATAATTTTGACCTCTCATAAATTTATCAAACCTCAAATACCATTGTCTTGGAGATCGCTTCAAGCCATAAAGTGATTTCTTCAATTTGCAAAACAAATTCTCCTTCCCTTTCACTATATACCCATCCGGTTGACACATATAAATCTCTTCATTCAAATCATCATGTAGGAAAGTCGTTTTCACATCAAGTTGCACAAGCTCAAGATCATACTGTGCAACAAGAGCTAACATAATGCGAATTGAGGAGTGTTTCACAACCGGAGAAAAGATTTCATTGTAGTCAATGCCCTCCTTTTGTGCATACCCTTTAACAACTAATCTTGCTTTGAATCTCACATTGCTTTTCTCATCAGCATCTTCCTTCTTGGCATACACTCATTTGCAACCGATATCTTTCTTGCCCTTAGGCAATTTAGCTAACTCCCAAGTCTTGTTCTTCAAGAGAGAATTCATCTCATCACCCATGGCATTGCACCACCTCTCATTTTCTTCACTCTCAATAGCTTCCTCAAAATTGGATGGAATCTCATCAGTGATAATAGGAAGAGCAAAAGAAACATAGTCACTATACCGAGCTGGCTTGGTAATTTGTCTCTTTCCTCTGTTCTTGGCAATAGACTCTTGAGGTGAAACTTCCTCTTCAACTTGAATAGAATCTTCAAGTTCAACTTCTTCAACATCCTCATGGTCTTCAACTTCTTCACTTGTAGTGGCTTCGACATCAGCGGAAATAGGATTTGAAGTACCAGAGGCAACTTTCTCAAGCTCCACCTGTTGGACATCTTTCACATTCTTCTCAGAGACTTTGAACATACTTTCTTCATCAAATGTCACATCTCTGCTGATTACAAGTTTTTTCATCTCTGGGCACCACAACCTGTAACCTTTGACACCACTACTAAAACCAAGAAAGATAGCCTTTTTGGCTATAGGATCAAGTTTATTTTCAGTCACATGAAAATAAGCAGGTGAACCAAAAATACGGATATAGTCATAATCAGAAGAAGGTTTTCCAATCCATACCTCCATTGGTGTCTTACCCTGAACAGCAGCTGAGGGTAACCGGTTGATGATGTGACATGCATAATTAACTGCTTCTGCCCAAAATGACTTGCTTAAACCCGACTGAGACAACATACATCTAACCTTCTCAAGCAAGGTTCGATTCAATCTTTCTGCAACTCCATTTTGTTATGGAGTTCCCCGAACACTAAAATGTCTCACAATTCCTTCCTCTTTGCAAACTTTAAAGAAAGGGTCGGATGTGTATTCACCACCATTATCCGATCTCAAAATATTAATCTTTCTCCCAGTCTGGTTCTCAACCATTTTCTTCCAACTCAAGAAAATGCTCAATACCTCACTCTTGTGCTTCATAGTGTAAACCCAAGACCTTCTTGAATAATCATCAACAAAGGTCACGAACCAATGTCTATCACTCAAAGAGGGAGTCTTTGTAGGACCCCAAACATTCGAATGCACATAATCAAGAATGCCCTTCGTCTGATGTACAGCAGTACCAAACTTCACTCTAGTTTGCTTCCCCAAGACACAATGCTCGCAGAAATCAAGCTTACAAGTCGTGACACCTTTTAGAAGACCTTTTTTCACAAGCCCTTGTAGAGCTTTCTCACCGGCATGACCTAATCTCATATGCCACAATCTAGTAGTATCTGAATCAGATGTGCCCATATTTTCAGAGACTACTGATGCTTCACCTGTCACCGTGCTTCCCTGCAATAAATACAAATGGCCACATCTAGGAGCTTTCATCACAACAAGTGCACCATAAGTAACTTTCAATGTTTGTCCATCTGAATGAAACCTGAAACCCTTGGATTCCAAAGTACCCAAAGAAATAAGATTTTTCTTCAAATTCGGTACATACCGAACACCTGTCAACTCTTTAACCATGCCATCATGCAACTTCAAACGAACTGTACCAATCCCTTTTGTTGTGCAAGGATTGTCATCTCCCATGAACACAACTCCACCATCAAACTCTTTCAAGCTTGAAAACTAATCCTTGTGAGGAGTCATATGATGAGTACAACCCGTATCCAACACCCACTTAGTAGCACAATCAAATGATGAGGAAGTGGTTAAAGAAAAATCAGAAAAATCTGTTTCAACCTCAGCAACATTAGCTTCAGAACTTTCTTTGCCTTTGGTCTTCAACCTAGGACAATCTTTCTTCCAATGACCCTTATTATGACAAAAGGCACATTCATCCCTTTCCAAAGGTTTTCTACCTTTAGAGTTTCCTCTAGGTCGAGACTGTGATTTTTTCCTACTAGAAGATGATCTTCTCTCCGATGATCTACCTCTAACAAATAAAGCTTCAGATGTACTATCATGATTTTTATCTCTATGCCTCATTTCATAATTCATCAAGGCATTTGACACATCTTCAAATTTCACAGTTTCTTTACCGTGTATAATAGTGGTAACAAAATGCTCATAAGAGTCAGGCAATGAATTCAACAATATTAAGGCCTTATCTTCATCCTTAATATCCTCATCTAAATTTAAAAAGTCGGCAATCAACTTATTAAAAGCATGAAGGTGTCTAATCATTTTTGTACCTTCTTTGTATTGGAAGCGGTAGAGCTTTTTCTTCAAGTGTAGCCGGTTCTCTGCACTCTTCGTCATATACTTGTCTTCCAATTTTTGCCACAACACACTTGCTACCGTCTCCCGCATCACAAAATACTTTTGAGTTTTTGCAAGGCACAACCGAATTGAAGAGCAAGCCCACAAATTTAATTTCTCCCATTCCGGCTTCGACATAGCTTCCGGCTTCTCTCCCAAAGCGGCAAGTAGATCTTGTTGAGCCAACACATCTTTGACCTCACATTGCCACATCCCGAAGTTGTTTGTGCCATCAAACTTTTCAACTTCGAACTTTGCATTTTGCACCGTAGTTCTTGCAAACCCGGAGGTGCTTCTAAAAGGATTCTCATCTTGCCCGTCTGACATATTTGGCAACTAGACAGTACCCAAGAGCAACCAGTGCTCTGATACCAATTGTTGTGCTAGGATAGCACCAAACCCGTTGGAACCAACTCAAGCTAACCCACAGGAAATTTATCAAATGAAAAAGCAAGAACAAAATATTAAAGACACCAAGATTTTAACGAGGTTCCTCAACAGTCAGTGTAACTGGAGTACGTCCTCGGAGCAGTATGAGCTCACCCAAGAATCCACTATCAACCAAATGGGAGTTTACAAAGTGTTGGCAATCTCACAACCCAAAACCCTAATACACCCAATAACTCTCACTCACCAAAGAAACAAATAGAGAGGGAAATATAGTGAATAATTTCCTCTCTATACAAAGCTCAAAGCTAATACACAAATACAACTTTGATTGAGTGAGTACCAACAAAGAAAGAAAATCACATTTCTTTCTTCTCTTCAAAATGAGGCTGCAGCACCTCTGTTTTCTTCTCTGTTTTTCTGGTGCACTCTATCACTACAATCAGAAAATGCTCTCTATTTTCTGCACCTTCTACAACTCCCTTTCCGTTTCTCTTATTTCCAAAGGCTAAATAAAAAATTAATTTTCTCCAACATCATCATTTGTCATCATAACAAAGCAAGGAACAACATCATGATGTCTCCATTTTTTTCTTTTTAACAAACATAATCATTTGTCTTTTTCTTTCTTTTGCTTTGTTTAATAGCTAAAAGGTGAACTTTCCAAGTGGCAACTCAACAAAGAGGACCAAGAAGGAGAAGAGCAACGAGGAGGAGGTGCTGATCATCAAGGACATCGAGTTTGAGAGCAACGAGGCGGTGAAGTTCAATGTGTTTATTAATGACGATGCTGATTCGCTGAGTCGGAAGGACAAGTCTGAGTTTGTCGGGAGTTTTGTGCACGTGCCGCATAGCCAGAAGACTGGCCTAAAAACAAGTCAAGTCATTTCGTTTATTTGTGAAAAAACGAATTGTGATTCTTTATTTGTTGTTTACTAAGACCATCTCCAACCCTTGGGCTAAAAGCCAAATTTTTTAGCCCGGAAAATTTAGCTTTTAGCCCAGAAACATCTTTTCTGCTTCAACCCTTCTACCCTAAATTTTAGCCCGAAATTATTAAAGAATGAAATTAGCCTAAATTTTTTTCTTAAATCAATTTTTTTTAAAAAAAATAAATATGTAGATTATTGTAAATTAATTTTATGAACATTTTAATCTAAAAAAATTTAAATTCCGATAAACATTTCGCATTTAGCCCGGGGGGAAAATTGGGGGGTATTTGGCCCAGAAATAGCATTTGGCATTTAGCCTAAAATTTTAGCATGGGTTGGAGAGTGTTTGGGGGGGTAATTTGGCTTTTAGCCCAGGGTTGGAGATGGTCTAAAAGATCATTTGATAACCGGTCATTTCGTTTTTACTTTTCATTTTTTCGAAAAATGAAATCTTGTTTAGTAACTATTTTCACTTTTCAAAAAAATGATAACATAAACAAAAAAGTGAAAACTTATGGCCAAATTTTAAAGACGGATAATATTAGGGATACTAATTTGTAGACAAAAGTTACAAATTAAATGATGTTTTACCAATAAGACTGATTATGTTTATTGATGCTTAAGTAATAAACCAATCATCAAATTTCAGTCCTTTAGTTTTTAAAATTTTGTCTACAAATTTAGTATATCAAGCATTACCCTTTAAAAACTCATGAAAATAGGTTTCAATTTTCAGCTTTCAAAAAAGTAAAAATGAAGGCTGAAAATGAAATGGTTATCAAACATCCCCTAAAGAAGTCATTCTTAGTGATAATAAGGAGAGACTAGAGAGAGATTCCTATACTTAGCCGTGAGAGTTTCCCATATATGATTTTCATTAACAAGATTGAAATGATTACAGAGAGAAGATCAAGTATGGTTTATTTTTATTTTGTAGAGTGTAGACTTTATACCTATACATTCATAATAACATGAGTAATGTTATATTTATCACATTTGTACTTTTTTTCTAATAATAGTAGGACCTATTAACACATGTGAGTTCCATTTGCCCATCAACACATATGTGTCTCATTTCTGTGAGAAAAATATGATATGGAAAATATGATAAGATCGCAATTTTGTAATAACATATATACTCAACTATCTATATACCGACCCCCCCCTCTCTCTTTTAGTGTAGATAATATCGCTTGTTCAAAAAAAAATGAACTTGTCATAATCATTGAATCTATTTACCATGAACAAATGGCAGTTTACTAAACTTGCCCTCATAGTATATATAAAAGGTCAATCACAATCTATTGGATTAATATAAGGAAACAATATGCTATGCACAATGAAAATTAAGCTCACACTTTATCCCAAATAAGGTGTTGCACATTTAATTTATGGATGCTGGTTTGGTAAAATGAGAGGTTCGGAAACAAGGATAAAGGCCATTATTGAAGCAAATAATTGGAGCAATAAATCATGCAAATAATTGGTTGTCTCATAAACGCCTATTCGCATCACTATAAATGCGTATTTCCTATATTGCACATGGAGTAGAATTGATCTTACAGTATTGGTAATGCTAGGGACGAACTTATTAAATCAAATTTTATAAATTTGATAACGTAGTTGTTGATAATTTAAGGGAATTGTTATTAGCACTCTAAAAAACTCATTTGGCATTCTAAACTTTCTATAATTAGAAAGAAAAATACACTTATAAGGGAGTGTAGAATGAGATTTTGGAGTATTAATAACATTTCTCTAATTTAATTACTTAAGTGTTGATTAACGTGTTTAATTTCTATTTGTGACACATCATATAATTCGCATATTCGGTCTATCTAGCATTACTCTAGAGTAATATAGATCAAATTTGTAAACTATGTGATGTGTCACCAATAGGAAAAAATTTCAGTATGCTGGAAATACGGCTCAGAACACCAAGTGTCATAATATATACTTGGTTGGAAATTTTTTATTTTCAAGTTTCCAACTAATTGTATTGTAACACTTCGTATTCCAGACTATGTTCTTAGTGCGCTGGAAAATCTCTTCACCAATAGGAAATAAGCATATTAATGAACACTTAAGTAATAATTCAATCATCAACAACTACGTCATAGAATTTATGAAATGTGGTCTAAATTGATGGTCTCCATAGCATTACCTTTATCTTAGCGTATACGTACCCCTTCACATGTTTATTTGCTGATATGCAGCTTGAGTGAAAATTTCTTTTTAAGAACATATATGTGAATATAAACATATATATCTAGTGACGGATGTAGCGTTATTTAAAAATAAACAAATTAATTAATTAATAAATGAACTGTGTACCTGTCTGTGTCGAGTAATCCATATGTATGCTTGAATCCTGATCACCACGAAACCCTAACATATAAGCTACTCAAGGCCCGAAAGCTTGGATTGAAGAGAAAAACACCCAGTCAGATTAAGCCAATATATCAAAGTTATAATTCCAAATGTAAGCTTTAAGATTGAAAAATCACTTACTACCTTGAGCAGTTGAGCTTCTTCAATGGCATAAAGCTTTTAGCATGAGATGGACTGCATCACAACTAAAATTTTCTCTTGGAAACTACACAAGGAATAGCATACATACCTATAACATTGAGAAAGTACGCCAATTTTTTCCTTCTGCTCGTTCATGTTTAAAATTAATCCTCAGATGAACTTGCCCACAATGAAGTGCAATTTGAGGTAGTCGAGTGTTCCATTTCCATCCTATGGAAATTACTACTAAACTTTAAGATGGCAAAAGTGTTTAAGTTAATATTTAAACTATGGGCTTTTAGGAAGGGAAGCCCAAAAAGGAGCTCAAGGAGGAGATTCAGCTCGAGGCCCAGCACCTAAGCTCATATCATCCATCCTAAAAGCCAGTTGGCACCCCCATTAATACAAATGCTAGTTGCATACAAGAAGTGACAACCGATGGGAGTTCACCTGCTCTAGGCCCAAAAGCACTTTATGGATGGCATAGCATGTAAATATCAATGGTTCTCTACCCTCCAAATTACTTTCGGGCAAGAACAGGAGCAGCACAAATCAAGTTAACTCATCTATAAAATGGGGATGAGGGCCCAGAGACAAAGAGACTCAACCAATCAAACAAACATACAACTTGACTCTCAGCCAAGTAAATGCCCAGAAAGTCGTGCTTTGTCCAGACTCTGCACCCTTTTAGCCTTAGATTTCCTTAGAAATACATCTTTTGTCTATGTAAAAGCTCTACTACCCTTTCCCAGATGTCGTAGTATCGATCTTTAGTGTATAAACTCCTTTCCAGTCGTTCCCCTTAATATTCAATCATCTGCAAACTGCAAGGAGAAGAGATTGCAAGACGTTTAACCTTGCCCAACAAGGTGAAATCTTGCTCGACTCTCTTTGTTTTGTCTTTCAATTAATAGATCTGCACTACTACAATATTAGCTTTAGGTGGCGGATGATGGTGGCGGATATTAAAAAATCCTGTCGAATAAATTATATCCGACACATCATTTAATTACTGGCGGATATTAGAAAAATCATGTCGGTTCTATCCAACATAAATTTCGGGCGGATATTTACTGGCGGAATTTTTGAATCTTTTTTTTTAATATTTTTTACATATCCTGGCGGTTTTACGTTAATAGTGGCAGTTATAACCGACAGAAATTGACTATTTTATTATTTTACTTTATGGCTGTTATAACCGACATAGATGAAAATTTTATTATTTTAAAATGTTATATTGATTAAAAATAAATAAATAAACACATATTTTAAATAAAAAATTTTCACTCATGACCCTAAAGTCTAATGAACCCAATTCTCACAAGTCATAAATTTTCTGAGAGAATAATGACAATAGACTACAATCTAAAGCTCTATCATTTTTGTAATAAGGATTATGCTCCCTCATAGGCAAGCAACAAGATACAAAGAAATTTAAACAATTTTTTCTAATGCACATAAACACACATAAACACACATGAACATCTGATGTACTTTATCATGTCTAATTTTATTATTTTAAAATGTTATATTGATTAAAAATAAATAAACACATGTTTTAAATATTATATTTTTTGCGATTTTTTACACATGCTATCTCATAGTATATACGAACATATTTGACGAATGCATATCCTATCAAATTGATAGATTTAACAAACATTTAAGAGTTAATGTTATGCTTCCATTATTTATAAAATAAGATTTATCCACTAGTGTGAATATTTTAAATTGAAGATTGAATTCATTCATTGCATTCTTAAAGGATCGAGGAGTGTAGCTGCAAAAAATCATCAAAAGCGAAGCTAAAATAACCGTTAAATTGTGATATTTCCTTTATAACCGTTGAAAACTTTTGTTTTGTTACCTAATCTCTGAACGTTTGCTTTTTGTGATTTTTTACGTATGTGATCTCGGAGTGTTTACAAACAAGTTTGACGGATAGATCATTGAAAAAAGTTTCGTAGAATGTGTATTGCGTCAAAATGGTAGATTAAATAAACACTTAAGAGTTAATGTTATACTTCCATTAAGTATAAAATAAAATTGTGTGGTATCCACTAGTGTAAATATTTTAAATTGAAGATCAAATTCATTCATTACATTCTTATAGGGTCGAGGATTGTAGCTGTAAAAAAATCATTAAAATCGGAGCTAAAATAACTGTTAAATTGTGATTTTTCGTTTATAATCGTTGAAAACTTTTATTTTGTTACCTAATCTCTTAATGTTTGTTGTTTGTGATTTTTTACGTATGCGATCTCGGAGTGTGTACAAACAAGTTTGACGGTTGGATTGTTGAAAAACGCTTCGTAGAATGCATATCCTATCAAATTGATAGATTTAACAAACATTTAAGAGTTAATGTTATGCTTCCATTATTTATAAAATAAGATTTATCCACTAGTGTAAATATTTTAAATTGAAGATCGAATTCATTCAATGCATTCTTATAGGGTCGAGGAGTGTTTCTGTAAAAAATCATCAAAAACGGAG